TCCTCTTTCAAGATATGTCAAAGGCTTATGACAGGGTCAATCTGGGAATGCTCTATAAAGCTCTTCTCAGACTACGCCTGCCAAATAATTTTATTGAATTAATCTTCTCACTGTTCGCCTTTAGATTCAATCAAGTTCTAACGATACATGGTACCACCCCTACCTACCCAGTTTTTTCTGGCATCGACCAAGGTGAAATTTTATCACCAATTTTATGGTGCATTTATTTTGACCCTTTATTATGCCAAGTGCAAAATACAACTCTTGGGTATAACATGGATGTTACATCGCCCTTTAACCATGGAAATGTAGAAACCCATCACTCACTGTCAGCACACGTACCAGCTCTAGCATACATGGACGATACCCTTTGGTTGTCACAATCTAAAGAGTCCTTTAATAGTCTGCTCTGTATAGCCGACAGCTTCTATGAATTAAATTCTATCCAGGTTAATTGGATAAAATCAACGCTCTTGTCACCATTTAAGAACCAAAATGTTGTGCACTTCCAACTCCCGACCTCTGCACTCAATCTTATACCGGCCAAGTATAATGCATCTATAAGATACCTTAGCATTTGGATCTCAATGTCGAACAACAAACAGTTCATTCAAAAACAAGTCCAACTAGACTTGCACACAGTTACCTACGCCTTACGCCCAAAAGTACTTACAGATAAACAGATAATATATATTTATAATCTTGTAATCTTACCAAAAATCATGTATAGAACGCAACTCACATTCCTGGGACACAAAGTGTGTGACAAATTCATGGGTTCATTTAGAAGGATTCTTAAAACAAAATTATCTTTATCTAATGATACACCTATTGCTGCATTCCATACACCCTCAGTATATAACCTTACGCACCTTTTCGACAGTCAAGTACAAGATAAGACCACAGCTTTATATAATATTTCAAATGACAAAGGTTTAATTGGGCTTACTAGTAACATCAGAATCTTACAACTTCAAATTATGGAATGGTTGCCCACCTCGCCCTTAAATTCTTGGCCACATGACGACCTTGCGCCTTTCAAAGATTAGATTGCTGCCTTCCTGTCAACACTTAAAAAATGGAATTTCAAATTCAAAGCCGTTATAGCAAATCAATATACTGTTATAGGTGGATCTTTGCCAATTTACACACACTTTTCACAATATAACTATAGGAAATTTATCGATGTTCTTCGTAAAAAAAATCTGATGTTCTGCGACCAACTCATCTCATCTGATGGAACTTCCCTATATACGTATGCTGATACAAAACTTTATGATAATAGACGCACACCCATCTGCACTCCTAAATGGTTTACTAAACTGGAACTTTCGTTAAACGTGAATACAAATACTAGACTGCTATCAACGCCATTACATTTTCCACATCATGACCGACTTACTTCCATCATTAATAGAAATGGTATATATAAAAGAGATAATTTCGTCATCTCCTGGATTCCTACGTTATGTGCAGTGTTTGTTGGAAGAATCAAAAGCGCCGTTAATCAGCATATGATTCTCCATCATCATACCACCTATACAACACCCGAGTTTACAACACAACTGATCCCTTATAAAGAATGCATATTATCCGATTACAACGCGACGATAGCCCTCAAATGAGAAAACATTAGAATGAAGACCGGTTGTTTGTCCTTTTACGACAAGACCATTTGTGCTCATATCAATTTTAATACTGTCCGCAATCAAGGCTATAGATGTAGCTTTTTCCCTTTTCTTTTAAACGATCTTGCTTTCAATTCATATAATAGTTCCCTAATACTTCTAGACCCCCTTTGGAAAATTTAATCTCCTGTAACATTTTTGATTCTTTGTCAATGATTTTATTAACTGATTTTGCATATCGCCTTACTAACATCCCACAGCTCAAATTTTACACTGATGGTTCAGTCTCCGATATTGGATTACCTCGGCTAGAATAGGATCGGCCTGGGTACTTGTCTACCCTGATGCTCCTCTATTATCCTTCAATGCGACGATTGTCAACTTCCCAATCAGTATGTTATTAGCAGAGCTATCTGCAATAGCAGCAGCCATCGTCACTTCTCCTAGCAACGCTGAAGTAGAAATATGTACTGATTCATTGGTTGCGACCAATCACTATAACCTATTTTTCCAATACTATATGGCCTCACCAACATTTAACCCTACATCTAAAATTGCGAATTACAGCATATGGCATGCACTCTTTCGAATCATATCTTCTAAAAATATTATCTTAAAATTCACGAAAATTACAGCCCACAGTAATAACCACTTCAACGAACAAGCGGATGTCCTATTCAAGAGATCTTCTCCAACTTACTTTCTCTCTTATAATATTAATGGCCTTGGCAGCAAGAATATACTTTATTTTAACAATCATCTGATTAGCATCTCGTCACGATGTTTTATCAAAGACGCTCTCAAAACCTTACACTTCAACAGCTTTGCTGATTCCCCCCATTTTCAGAAATATGGTAAACGGTCGATTCACTGGACAGCCACATGCTTCATCTTAAATGATAACGAAAACAAGACCTCAACTTCCTTCCAAGCCTCATACCTTAAAAAACAAAAGCTGAAATTAATGATGGAAATACTTCCGACTATTGAAGTGATCAAACATCGACACCCTACTTTATATCCTCATAATCTTCTCTGCCTATTATGTGACATCATTGAAGAGGACTTTAAACATCTATGGCTTTGCCCTTCCATTCTGCAACTCGTTAACCAAGCGAGTGCATCAGCGCGCCACATATTACTTAACTCAATCCAACAATCTATTGAGGCGAATAATTCCCTCACAACTGAGCCGAGACCGCTACTGGTGGATGATATATGGGACGTGTCACCGCACAAGTTCCAATACACTTTTATAGATATGATCAAAGGGATTGTGCCCATTACACTCTTTAATAAGATCAACAGACTGATTAACTCTAATAGCCTCACCTTTTCTCTATTATCACTCACCTATCATCACGTTTTTGAACTCACTAATGACATTTGGAAAACCCGCTGCACCACACTCAAAACATTCTAAATAACACACCAAATAACACTAGCTAAGAAAAAGGATGACTGGAAATCTTTGGGCTTTTCTAAATCTACAACTAATTTCTCCGCGAATATTCCCCAATGCTTTCAAGATGCTTTCTACTTCAGTACCTCCTGGTCAGATTTTTAAATCGGTAGTGACCAGGCCCTCCACCTGGACTGTCAAGATTATTTGTAATACAGGTAATTAGTCTAGGAATATGCAAGGTCAGTTTTGATCTAGTTTAGTTTATTTTTTATAGTTAAATTAGATAGAAATTTTCGTTTTTTCTATGCATTTGTTTTTGTACTTCTGTATAAAGTTATCATTTCAATAAAGTCTCTGCAATACTACCGCACATTTAAAAAAAAAAAAAAAAAACAAATCAGGTTTAATTAATAATTAGTTATCAATTGGTTTAATACCCGATTGATGATTATTATTCAATTAAAATTTACCGATTGGTAACAATTCGCTAACAAGTCTTGTTAAGATTTGTTAATAATTCGTAATAAAATTTGTTATATGATTTCGTTTAAACGAATCATACGAAATTCGTTATAATGATTTGTTATAATGAATCTTTTAACGAAATTTGTTAATGATTCGATTCGCTTAATGAAATTTCGTTATAAATCGGTTAACGAAATTCATTATGATTCGTTAAAGAATCGTTCAACGAATTTTGTATGATTCAGTTAATGAAATTCATTACAATTCGTTTAAACAAAACGAATTTCGTTAATAATCAGTTAATGAAATTTATTATGATTCGTTTAAACAAATTTCGTATAATAAATCATTCAACGAATTTCGTACGATTCGGTTAACGAAATTACATTATGAATCAGTTAACTAAATTCGTTACGATTCGTTATAATGAATTTCGTTAAAGAATTATTAAACGAAATTCGTTAATGATTCGTTAAATGAAATTTGTTAATGATTCGCTTAATAAAATTTCGTTATGAATCAGTTAATCAAATTCGTTACAATTCGTTATAACAAATTTCATTAAAGAATTGTTCAACAAAATTCATTATGAATCAGTTAATGAAATTCATATAACAAATTGTATAACGAATTTCATTCCGATTCGTTAAAGAAATTCGTTTAAATGATAAAATTTGTTAAATGATTAAACAAATTCCGCATAAAGATTCGTTACAGTTTTCGTTAAATGAATCTATATAACGATTCGTTACATTTTTGTTAAATGAATCTGTATAACAATTTGTTACATTTTCATTAAACAAATTCTGTAAAATGATTCATTACGGATTTCGCTGAACGATTTATCATACGAATTTCGTTTAAACGAATCGTAACGAATTTCGTTGAATGATTCGTTATATAAATTTCATTTAAACGAATCATAATGAATTTCATTAACCGATTCATAATAAAATTCATAATAACGATTCGTTAAGAATTTTGTAACGAATCACAACGAAATTTGTCAAACGAAGACGAATTTCGTATTTGAAAATGATTTTTGTCATTTCGAAGATGAATTTCACATTTAAAGGCGATTTTCGTCAATTCGAAGACAAATTTCATTTTGAAAGTGAAATTTCGCTAATTCAAGACGAATTTCATCATTTCATAACGAAATATCATATTCAATGACGATTTTCATTTTCATTAACTTTTTATTATTATTTGTTTACTATTAATCTTATGTATCATAGTAAAACATAAAACATATATATTTAACCTTTTTTAGCAAATCGGAATCACCCTTTCTTCTTTTTCTTTTCTCTTTTTTTTTTTTTTTAGAAATGCTTTTTTCTCAATTTTCACTAATATTTTTTCTTTTTTTATAGTAAAAATTCTTTCTTTTGGATAAGGTACAATAAGTAGCTTTTCAGGACTCTTTCAGGATTATTTTTCAGTTTTTTACTTATTTTTTTTACCAAATCTTCTTTCTTTTGGATAAGTTAAGTAGCATTTTTATGGTGGGTTTCAGATATTTATAACTTTCTTTTTTTTTTTAATAGAAGTGGACTTTTTGCTATTGGCTAAGATAATTTTACAAATCAAAATGGTAGTTTTTTCAGGTTTTTACTAATTTTTTTTCTTTTTTTAATAGAATAGACTTTTTTGCTATTGGTTAAGATAATAAGTCTACAAATCGGAATGATAGTTTTTTCAGGTTTTTACTATTTTTTTTCTTTTTTTAATAGAAGTAGACTTTTTTACTATTGGTTAAGGTAATTTTACAAATCGGGATGGTAGTTTTTTCAGGTTTTTACTAATTTTTCTTTTTTTTTAATAGAAGTTAACTTTTTTTGCTATTGGTTAAGGTAATTCTACAAATCGGAATGGTAGTTTTTTCAGGTTTTTACTAATTTTTTTCTTTTTTTAATAGAAGTGAATTTTTTGCTATTGGTTAATGTAAGTCTACAAATCAGGATGGTAGATTTTTCAGGTTTTTACTAATTTTTTTTCTTTTTTTAATAGAAGTGAACTTTTTTACTATTAGTTAATGTAAGTCTACAAATCAGGATGATAGTTTTTTCAGGTTTTTAC